AAACAGAAACATATGGCTGTACAGCATGGATCTTTCTTTCATTACTCTAAATTTTAATTGTGAGGAATGTGTCCTCATGGAGCCCTAGACAACATGCATATGTTCTGGACTGTGGCCACCAGCAAGCCTCATGCCCGCCCTAAGTGAAGGCGGGCCTGAATATCCACGAGAGGCCCTTATCTCGGCATTTTCGAATGTGGGTCTCAGACAGTTGCTGCATGCCAGTTGGTTGAAGTGCAACCTGGGCCTCACCCTGGGCTCTTCCAGAAGAAGCACCTGCGCCAGGCAGTTGAGCCCAGGACGCAGGTGGTTGCGCCCTGGCCACACTGAGGCCGACACATGGCGAAGTGGCCACGGGCCAATGAGAATGCAGCATTGTCGTCACATCTACCCCGCGGGGGCCAATGCAAACACAGCAAACAATCGGAGCCTGGAAAATTCTGGGTGTGCCCAACTGAAAAGGGCCCAGGCCCTCAACATCGGCCTGGGCGCAGACACTGGGGCCCGACCAGAAGCTACTGAAAACTTCCACGGCCAGGCCCAGACAGTCCAGCAGCAGCAACATCTCCCATATAGGGAGGAGGCCAGCCAGTCCAGGGTATTCTGGCCTAGGCAGGCAATGCGGACACGCTGCTGCAAGACAGCGCGAGTGTCTGCACGCGCCAGTGCTGGCTGGGGCGCGCGCGGGCGCTGAGTGGTGCGGGGCGCTGCAGGCCAGCGGGGCCCTAGCGGCCATATAGTCGGGCTGCAGGGCGCGAGGGGGTGATGGGCGACGGTGGTCCTCAGGAAGGAGGCGCAGGTGTGGGTGGACAAGGGTGATGAGGGGGGTCGAGAGTACGTACCTGGTGTATGTGGGAGGTCGGCATTGGTGTTGACGTCATGTACATTGGTCTTCGAAGTCGATGTGAGCCTGTTGCACGAATGTAGATAGGCTAGGTAGGATGAGTAGAGTAGGCTGAGCGCTGGGCGCCAGACAGTAGGAGCGACATTGAAAAATGCGTTGGTGTGGCCTGAGGGCTTGGACATTGGCTCACGAGTTCATTGTATTGCTTTTATTTGGATGGAATCTTGGTGCATATGAGCTCTCTGCTTGTTACATGACTATCTGGACTTCGCATGATTTTGGAACTTGGTTATCTGTATATCTCGCTCATATTCCTTGCATAATCAATATCTATATATTTTTTGTTTCTTCTAAAGGAAAGCTTGTGTGAGGCATAAGGCCCCAATGGGCCCCTTTTGTACCCTGTAAGCAGCACAGTCTGCCGCCCTAAGTGAAGGCAGGCCCGACTAAGGCCAAGAGGCCTATTTTTCGGCTACCACGCAACTGGGTAAATTCAGGCAGTTGCGTAGCGCCAGTTGGTTGAGAGCGCCCAGGCCCTGGCTGCCTTTTTCGTTCGTAATAGAGGCAGGCCCTGGGCCAGATACACAACAAGGGCCGAACACGCTGCAGGCATTTTGACACAGGCAACCGTCACAGGCCCTGTGTGGCGTACTGCGCAGCCACACGGGCCTGCAGGGCCTGTCCCGCAGTCTCAGCCTAAAAGCCTAGAAACAAGGGCTTACAGGCCCCGTGTCGTTTCAGCCTGAAAGACTGAAAAACGAGGGCCTGCAGGCCCTATGTCGTTTCAGCCTAAAACAGGGCCTTCCAGGCCCTGAGTCTTTTCAGCCTGAAACGGAGGGCCACTTTCGGGCCCTCATAAGATCGACCTGCCCTAACACTCAGGCACCAAACCAGGGTTTCGGAACAGGCTAATTTTGGCCTGTTCCCACGCCAGCCTCAGCAGGAGCTGCAGCGGCAGGCCCTGGCTCACCTCGGCATTGGCAAGAGCATCCTCCTGGACTGCCCCGCCCTGCAGCTGCAGGCAGTCAGGAGGCAGGCCGAGGTAGTACATAGGGAATTCCCATGCACTTCATGGGCAGTCAGAGGCCGAGGCAGTAGTAGTCTTCAGGATTCGGCAGCAGCACTCTGGAGGAGCACTGCAGGAGTAGCTTAGCGCTAGCAGTAGTCTTCAGCGCTCGGCGCTAGTAGCAGTAGCAGTCTTCTTCAGCGCTGGGCGCTAGTAGAGGTAGAGGAGGTGAGAGAGAGAGATGGCTGGCGGAGGCCAGGGAGACTTACCTGTGGCGCCATAGCTCCAGCTTCATCTTCAAGGTACCTGCATCAAGGCGCCAACTTCACAGGTTAGTACCGGACAGAGAGAGAGAGAGAGAGAGTTCTTCTTCTTCCTCTTCTAAGTCCACCATCTCTTCTTCACCCTCTCACGACCTGACTTCTCGGTATCAGCGGACTACGACAGAGAGAGAGAGTTGTGACTTGAGACTTGACGACATTGGATCCAGACTCGACATTGGGATTCAGACATTTTGACGAGGGACTATTTGGGCCTGTGCCGAAGACTTGGTGTTGACGACATTCCCATCTTTCCCTCTTCTTCGTCTAACCCCCCTCTTCTTCATCTGTGTATGGTTGGGGACTGGCGCATTCTTCCTGTGTGAGCGCCAGGCCCCTTCACACCATGGAGTGATAATGATGATGTATGTTCGGGGCTGCATTGCAATATTGATTGTTCGGATCATTGGTATCTAAGTCTTCCGCTACGCTATCTTGTACTTTGTGAGAGAGGTCGGTTCTTGTTCTGGTCTGCACCGTTACAGTATGCAACAGTTTGGTATCGGAGCGGACCTCTCATTCAGAGGACCCGCTCAATCAAGTAGCCAGCTTGCTTGATC